ACAAAAAAGGCATGTATGACTAGGTGATCTTGAGGCAAACATCCATACTCATCCTAACCGACCCAACAGGGTTGTTGTGAGGATATCCTGGAGGAGCAAAGAAGGTAGAAGGAAGGGCAGGATAAAAATGCTACCAAATAAAATTTTAAAAGTGAAGTAAACATTTCTTGGCAGGGTTTGAATAGGGGGAAAAACAGACTAAAAATTTTGTCATAGAAATGACGAAATCAGAGAGAAGGCTTCCAGCCAAGCTTTCCCACACTAGTTTTCTGTACGCAGGGATATATTTTTTTTCTGCAGAAGAGTATTCTGGCACACAAGCTCCCTCTATTGATATGAAATGGGAAGGGCAGCCGCAAAGGAGCTAGAAGAGATCTTTACGCATAGGATGTGTCACTGGTGGCGGCGGCAATGATTTACATTTCTGAATTGCCCAATCTCTGAGTACACAGAGCTCTGGGCGATTTACAGCCGATTAAAACATACAAAAATACAGATTAAAGTTAACAAACAGTTTATCTTAATTTCACAGTCCCCAGAAGGCATCTATAATTTAACTTAAAAACCTCCTCTGGATTGTTCTTTGTTGTAATTATTATTATTATTATTTAAGTTTTATTTATGTATTTTCCATTACAAAAAAACAAACAAAAAAAGAAGTTCAATTTGACATAACAATCTTTTGAGTGTACTTTATACATTTTTTCCCATCCATTTATCTACCTTGTTCCATCTTTTCTTAAAAACTTACAGCTAAAAGTTAAAACAGGAATGGCCGGCTTCTCCTTCCTTAGTCAGAACAAAGAGAGGAAGAAGATGCCAATATGCTAAATACTTCACACCATGATTTCCAATCAGACTAGCAAGTTAGCTCCAAAGTTCCCGGGCATTCTATTGTCTAAACAGATTGGTTACAAACAAACATGTGACTTCCTGTTGATCATAACAAACATCATTAACCCTGTAAATACTGAAGTGTTTTGACTTGTAAGACCCAACATTCTTCCATCTCATGGGCAGGTTATCGGAGGAGGCCGAAGTGGGCAGGGTAGGAGGGTGCCAGCTATGATGGAAACCGTCGCTGTCCTCAACCAAAAGCCTGGTAGAACATTTCTGCCTTGCGTACCCTGTGGAATTGCATTAGATCACACTAGGATTACCAAGTACCTACCTCGAATCGGCGGGGGATACATACTTCTTGTCAGGAACATTCCCGTGCGGAAAACAAACGCACCGCACCATGCCATCACCCAGACGTGACACCAGCACGCTGGGCATGTAGCTGGACAACGCTCTGGCAACGGAGCTGGAAACTTGATGGTACCATCGAGTTTCCACCTCCATTGCCAGAGCGTCACCCAGCTACGTGCCCAGTGTGCTGATGTCACGTCTGGGCGACGGCATGGTGCAGCAGGGGTGTGTTACACCGAGGGATGTTCCTGCCGGGAACCATGTGTCCCACGCCGATTCGAAGGTAGGTACTTGGTAACCCTAGATCACACAGGGCCCTGAAGGAGGCTGGCAGAGAGGGCTAGGCTTGCCAAGTTCCCCCAGGGGACAGGGAAACCCCCACTTGATGGTCCCGTTACCCGCCAGCCCGGATTGGGCCACTGGGGAGAACCCCACCCCCAAAATGCCGGGAACAGAGGTGACATCATCATGCCAGGCACGTTGTGGGGGGACGCTCTATGATTTGAGGGAAAACTCTATGGTTTTCCCTCGAGTCATTGTGGTTCCGCCCCCAACGTGACCGACGCGATGATGTCACTTACAGGTGGTGTAATTGTGGTGCACGCACAAAGCGTGCACACCAAAGACCTCCAGGACGGGGGCCAGGACTCCCCCGCTCTAAGGTAAGTTGCACTTGGCAACCCTAACCAGAGGAGATGGTCCCAGAGATCAAGATAACTCATGCCACTACTATGTAGGAGCATGAAAGCTGGACAATGAAGAAAGTCGACAGGAAGAAGGTTTTTTTCCTTTGAAATGTGATGTGGGAGGAGAGTTTTACAGATACCGTGGACTGCCAAAATGACATATCGGTGGGTTCTAGAACAAATCAAGCCTGACCTCTCCTTAAAAGATAAAATGACTAAACTGAGGCTATCGTACTTTGGTCACATTCTGAGAAGACAAGAGTCACTAGAAAAGATAATAATGCTAGGAAAAGTGGAAGGCAGCAGGAAAAGAGGACGAGCCAACAGGGGATGGATCGACTCTATAAAGGAAGCCACAAAGGCCCTCAGCAGTCTGCAAGGCAGTAAACACAGGACATCTGGGACAAAATTAATTCATAGAGTTGCCAGAAGGCGGAAGCGACTTTATGGTGGCTAACATACAAACCCAAAATGATTTAAAACAATGTCCCCAGGTGCCCACAGTCCACAACATCCAGCCCAGCTGAGGGGATGCATGGCCACACGATTCATGACGGTTTGTCCCAAACTGACTCATCTAACTGGCTCCTGAAGCCCACTTTGTGACTGGCAGCCAGTTGCCCCAGTACAGGAGGGAGCCTCCCAGGGCAATTTGTTTCCAGTTGCACTACAACATCTCTGTCCCTGACTCACTGCCCAGCCTTAGGGAAGTCGCTTCATGCAAACTGATATACCTTGTCTCCAGCAATGTGACAATTTATCTCAGGAGTAAACAAGGTTGCTACCGTTTTTTTGTTTGTCAGGCTTGCTATTTGGCATTCATGGACAGGGTGGGGAGGAACAGTGCAAGTGACGTTTGGATCCTTGCGTACCTTATGGTTGCCAAACTCCAGGTGGTGGGGCCTGTAATTACAACTGATCTCCAGATAGCAGAGACGGGTTCCCTGGAGAAAATGGCTGCTCTGGAAGGTGGCCTGTAGGGCATCACACCCAGCTGACGTCCTCCCCAGCTCCACCCCGAATTTCCCGACCCAGAGTTGGCAACTGACATGCAGTCTTATGCATCTAAAAACTGGATTTAAATTTTTTTGTTGTTGTTAACTAAGCCCAATTAGTAAGCCTCCAGCTTGCAACAAATGTGAAAAGAGTCGGAAGGTGCTTGTCAATAAGAAAACGAGAGGCTTTAGAAACCAAGACCTGATTTAATGTCACTAACCAATGAATGAGGAATCACCACCCGGCCCTCGGGCAATTTAGAGGGGCTTCACGCCTTGTAGAAAAAGGTACAGTCTTCGTGTGCCCCCAAGCGGTGGCAAGCAGAATAGCACCCTCTCAAGTGACAGCATTGCAATCACGGTCAGCCATCAGCCAAAGGAGTTCAGACTCGCAGACTCAATGAAACTACAGAGACACTTCCGATTCCCTATTGAACATGAGTGGAAAGTTGGCAACAAGTTTAAAGACCATCGAGATCTGGCGGTTATACCGACTCCCATTCTGCATAAAGTTTTTATATACCTTTTTTTTAATGTTTAAGGAACTTCCCCCCCATTAATCCACTAAACATGCAGGAGGCTTACACATGGCATGCTTCAAATCGGTTCCGGAAGTGATCACTAACTAGGGACTAGCCGCTAACTCTATGCTCTTCCACACCACTCGCTAGCTCTGTATGGCTCTACGTTCCGAAGGGGGTGGGGCTTACCATGACAAAGGAAGTGCGTGTGGCTTGCTTCCGCTTTCATATTTTAGCGTTGCCCTCCTTCCCCTCTCAGTTGCTAGGCAACGCGGGCGCTTCCGGATCTGCGCGGCGCGCCGCGCGGGACATGCCGGGTAACCCTCCCCAGCCGCATGGATTCCCACGAGCTCTTCCG